CTAGTACAAGAGAGTTGCTTTCATTATTTAAAATATGAAGTGAGCTATTATGATAAAGAAAAATGATTTGGACCCCCACAGGGGCACCCCACGACCTTCTCTAACTGTGATTGGTCTTTTTTTTTCTTTTTTTTTTTCTCCTCTTCCTCCTTCAATTATCAGCCCCATATATATGTGGGGGTGACGTGTGATGATTGGAGAGGTCTCAATCACTTTGGTATTGCAAACTCTGATAGTGATAAGGTTGCAAAAACAACCTCTGAGCAGAAAAATCTTGGATATTGAAACATCTCACCTGCCTTATTAATGTCTCAGTGATAGGTGTAATTATAGCCTTTTTCAAGCCTGGACCATATGTTTTTTTATTTTTAACATAACAATTAGTATATTAGTGATTAGATTATAATATAAGCTAGTTAGATCTTTCTATAGACTGGAACTTAAAATTTCACTTATTTAAAGAATAGTTTCTTAATTTATCTAAAATTTTAAATGTTTTTTTTTTATTTTATTAAATAATGTATAATTTAAAATAATTTCTATAAATTTGTAAAAAAGTAATGTTAGGATTACCTATTTTGATACTATATTTGACTATTATGAAATGCGACACCTTAGAGTATATTAAACGCTTACTTTTTTTTTATTATTATCAAATTTGAATAAAAATTTCATTTGATATCGAGCGTTTTAACAGAAAATTTTTATTTTTCATCAAAGCACCATTGATTGGGAGGACAACCGGTTAGTATAAATCGACCAGTTAATTTTGCAAGGAAGAGCAGACAATCGCCCAATCGTCCGATGCTCTTGCAGTTCCAACAGCTCCTGAAAAGCTAACAGCTACCTTCAATAATTTGATAAAATGCTCCTCGCATTCTCAATTTGATGAAAAATTTAAACATTATCAATTTGATATTGGTTTGATGTTATGATTAAAGTACTAAAATTGAACCTTTTTCAGTAAACATTGGAGATGCTCTTATAAGATATTAACTACATAGTATTAAGTGTTTAAGGTGCCACAAGATAGTACCAGATGCGGTCATCATGACGTTATTAAAATTTTATTTTTCATATTTTAAATTCATGATTCTAAAATTTCAAATTATATATTTAAAATTTGAGTTAAGAGTTTTGTATATATGAACGGTTTTGCTTGTATAATAATATATATGTGTACATATTTATATAAGAAATTTGGCTATGAATTTCTTTTTCAAATATCTTTTCTAATTTATGTTATAATATAAAAGATGCATAATATCAAATTTATTATTTTTCTTTAATGATTTTAAAATTATTTAACATATATTATCATTATTTATAATTTTATTTTAAAATCAATTAATTGTCAATCTGATTTTACGATCCAATCTGTAAGTTCCTTCCAACAATCATACCTAAGATGCTAATTTTAACAACTTTGTATACAATACAAGTTCATCAACCCTAATCTTAATATGTTCATCCAGTTTTTGATCACACATAAAAATTATTTGATGCCCATAAAAACATCACGTGATGAATATCACAAACTAATCACCAAATTCCACGACCATCTTACTACCTTCCTAATTTTTAACATAATGTGGTTGATCCCACTATTTTCACTGATCAAAATTTCTTTGGGGGCTCGACCTAATTATGTCCCGTGAACATGGAAAAACTTCCCGACGTGAGTTATGGCCATGTTTGGTAGAGCTGTGGAAAATTGATTATAACTTATATCTTAACAGTTTATAGCTTATAACTGTGAACATAAGTTGATTTTTGACTTATAAATTAAGCTTCTCCTCCTCCACTCAAAGAATAAGTTGATTTTTGATTTATAAAAAGTTATAAGCTGTACTGTTAAGCTGAACCAAATACATCAAAATAACTTAAATTAAAAAAACTGAAATAAATTAAAAATAAATTCTACCAAACAGAACCTATCTTGTAGAGGCCCAAAAGCTAAAGCGTGGAATAACTTCCCCATACGAGTTATGCTGTAGAGGCTCAAAAGCTAACCACAACCAACACATACCACAAAAACAAACAGCAAAAAAACAACAAAGCCTCCGTTTGGCAAGAAAAAGCCTAGGCTTTTTTGGTTAAAATAGCCACAAAAAATAAAATAGACTATTTTAGCCACAAAAAACAAAATATCAAATCCAACCCATAATCATTACAATCCTCTCTCACAAAAAAAGTCAAAAAAGCCAAAAAGCCAAAAAGCCCTTCCCAAACCAGGCTAAAATAGCCCAGGCTAAAATAACCAAAAAACCAAAAAGCCAAAAAACCAACCCACTTCCTAAACGGAGGCAAAATAATGGTCAAGTCAACGGCCTGGTGTGATTGAAGGCCTTGTGGTTGGGTTTTAAAATTTAAAAAAAAAAAAAAAAATGGTGTATCGTTTGTTCAAAAATTAAGTGAGAAGAAAAGGGCAATTGGGAGTTGGTTTTCATTCGTCCACCTACCAAGCCAAAGTTTTCTAAAAAGCTCCTTGAAACTATTTTAGGTTATGCTTATTTGGTTCTATAAAATGTAGAGAATTAAAAGTATAGTAAGATTGAGAAAGAAGATTATTAATGTGATGATATTATATTAGAGATATAGAATAAAGAGTATTTATTTGTACACTACCGAATTAGTAATATTATAAATAGTATTAATACATAAAATTAATATTTCTATAATTTAAATATTTTTTTAATATTATAATTTTTTTTATTCTAAAAAATATATATTTTACTTAAAAATTCATTAATCCCCTTAATTTATAATCACAATCCCTCTATGAGATTAATAGTCCGACCAATAAAAAAAAAATTACCAATCTAAAAGAATAACTAATCTCCTCACCCATATTTCTGATCAAACATTCTTTAAAAATTTCACAAAAAAGTATTAGTTTAATCCACTTTTCAAAAAGCGAAGGCCGCCATCATTGTCATCACTTCCGCAACAGGACAAGGGACCAAAAAGAAAAAAGAAAGAAAGAAAATGTTGCCTAAATTTTCTTAAGAAAGAAACAAGTGTTGAGAAAATTAAAAAAAAAAATTTTATTATGAGAATAAGATATCTTTTATTGAGGATATCAGAGGAGGGATGGGTACCTCCCTCCCCTAGCCTTTTAATTAATCTATTTTTAAAAATTTTTAAGAACTTATATTAAAAAATTGAAAAGATTAGTAAAATTTCTCATTTCACAAAAAAAAGAAATTTATTTCAATAAGACTTGTTATTTTGAAGATTTAATCCCCGTTTGGGAATTTTTTAACCAAAAATCACTATGAATTTTTATATCGTTTTTTTTTACAATTTTTTGTCGTAAAATATTAAAAAATCACTTAAAGTAACTAATTCTCAAACGAAATCTTTCTATAATTGAGATTTTTTATGGACATATTTACCCCTAGAATTTAAAATTTGAGTTAAGAGTTTTGTATATATGAACGGTTTTACTTGTTTCCAAATATTTTGGTTTGGCAAATCTCACAATGATTCATATCAACGAAGGTATCTTGCTTCAGTGTTGTCGACAATTTTCGTGAAGCCCACGACAACTCTCGACCGGACCTCTATTGTCAATGAAATGTAACGTCAACCCAAGGGAAAAGGGGAAGATATGGCTGGGAGAGATGGTCATTTTTTCCGCCTTTTCTGTACCGTAAAAAAGTTGGACAGAAACAAAATTTCCCTGTCCCGTTATACCGACTTCCGTGCCGATTGTGTTTATTCATTAATATAAATCATTATCCGTATTATATATTAGCTATGATTTTTATTAATATTTAAAAGACATACTCTATGCACGAAACTCTCACATATGCAAAGTTCAGAGAAAGAATGTACGCAGGTTTATTCTTGCAAGGAGAGAAACTATTTTCGCGATTCAAATCTATGACTACCAGGCCCTAAAAAGACAATTTTACCACCGCATCAGGTCTGCTTTCAATTTAACTTACAAAATTAACCTGTTCCAAACCTGAGCTGTGACCACCATCCCAAACAGGGAGTCAAACACAGCACACCAGCACCCAAAAAAAAAATCTTATGTACGATTTAATAAAATAGCACCTATCTCTCAAATATTAAAAAGTAGAGGCAATTCTCGTTCCACTACCAAGATTGTTAAAATTGAGATGCTACGTTGGATTGTTGGAGGTGTTTATAGAATCGGATCGTAGAATCGGATCGAAAATCGTAAAATCCTACTGAAAAAAACAAATTACATAATAATTTAATTTAAATAAATATTTCTTATAAAGTATATACAAAATGAGCTTATATTCTATTAAAAAGAAGTGAAGATATTGTGAAAAATATAATACTCATGTAAAATGTACATATAATATTATACAATAGAAAATTCGATGGTAAAAATTTTATATTTCATCAAAAAAGAAGGTGAAGAAGAAGAAGAATTTTATAACAAAATACTTTACAATCTACAATCTACAATAATGCACAAAAGTAAAGAAAAAACATTTAACAAAATTGGATATGAAAATAGATTAAAAACTCAAAAGAGTAACTTAATTAAATGATAGGTTTGTCGTTAACATACTTAGTGGAGCGGATTCAAGTCACAAAAATAATCTCTCAAAAAATTGGAATAAAATTACAATCATCTTACCCTCCTTAAACTCCGCTAAAGCTAAGTTTGTTTTTCCGACTATTTAATTTTCTTAAATTATCACAATATTTGAATGTTCGTTTCCTAATTTGTTTTTTTAAGTCTATTTGATTTAATACTACTTAATTTTTATTATTTATTTTGACCACATGAATTGATATTTAGACAATAAACATAAAATTTACAATAAAATATGTCATACAATACAAAATAAGACTTGTAAATTGGATCAGATAGGATCGAATTCGGATCGGAATTCCACGATCTTATAAGATCCTACTACTATGATCGAAAGATCCTACCTATAAAATTTTTTTACACGATCCGAATCGATTGTACTCAAATAGATCGTAAGATCGTAAAATCCGAACCAGGATTCCGATAACTATGTCCGCTACTACTGTTATCTCATTGAAGGATCTCCGAAGGAATGAGATTAGAACAAAGGTTCCAGTAGCAATGTTATTGGCAACCAAAAAATTATAAAAATTGTCCATTATTATTATTCTTATTATTATTATTATTAACAAGCAAATCTTACTTTTAACTATCAAATCCTACACCGGCAAATCAAACAAAACGGCACTCAACCTTCAAGTAAGGAAAACTCAATCCAAGTCAAATCCTACACCGGCAAATCAAACAAAACGGCACTCAACCTTCAAGTAAGGAAAACTCAATCCAAGTCTTAAGACGAACAACAACAGTTTCAAATATCCTCTGGGCCATTGATCTCCTGTGCATTAATACAAGACAAGACAGTAAGTATGGTAATAAACTTCATTAATCAATATATTAAAGTAGTTGTGTTGTGCAGTAAATCACCTTGTTTTCAATTACAGCTCCATTAGGGATTTCCAACTTCACTCCAGTTTTTGCAGCAATCACCACTTTTCCCTGAAGGATTACAGCAATAACCGCCAAGTGTGAGCCAAAAAAAAGAGTTGGAATATGTAAATTGGCAAGAAACTCACACGAAATGCACACCATCATCAACTGCTATTCATGATTTATTTATTTTTTTAAAATAGAGAATTGTTTTGCAAAAAATTTTCGGGAATTTTTTTGTATACATAAAAAAAGTAGTTTTGAATATTTGAAAAACAGTTTTCACATAAAAATGAAATGATGAGTGCTTTCAACCTTTTTACTGTTTTTGTTTCCAAAAACAAGAAAAGCAAAAATGATGTTTAATACCTTGAGAATAACGCCAGCTCCAAACCACACATCACCAGACACCTTTAAGATGTCAAGCTCGATGATGCTAGGGATGGACTTGAAACGACTTAAAAAGTTGGACACCTGGCAAGAAAATTCAATAATCAGCTACCATAGAAAAGCTGCAGCAATTTACAGCACTTGCTTAATGAAATAAATTGCTACCTTTTTAAATTCGGGCCCCAATTCAATAGAAGGATTTGTAGTATTAGCCCTAGCTTGGTTTCGGCTCACAAAGCCATCATTCAAGGTGTAAAGATCAGACTGTAAAAGAACAAATGGATGGTCTTACAAAACCCTTGGATCGATAATCAGGATCCTAAATTCAATGTCAGAGAGAAGGTTAACCTGGACAAGAAGCAAATCTGAAGTTGCTTTCACTGGAAGGAATCGAGATCGAGGAACATTAATACCAATAGCTTGATCGAAGAACTGGTTCACAAAAGACATCAGAAACAGAGGATATCTTAAAAACATCAAAAATAGCAGTTAAAGAGGTAGATATGAAGAATTATTTGATGCACGTGGTGTGTACCCGAATTGCAGCACCAGCTGCTGTTTCCAGCTGTAGAACTTTGATACCATCCACTTCCTGAGAGCAAGAATAATTTTGATCAAACATTTACCCAGTAAATTGGCTTTTGCTAAATGCATGGCCATCAATGTAGAGCAAATAGATACCTTGGGGTTTGGAATGATCTCCATCTTAAGTGCATCTGCTTCAACAAGTCTTTTAATTGCGTTCAAGTTCACCCACCTGGTGCAATATGGTGTTAGGATTTAACTGCTGTGTGTTTTACATGTGAAAGAGGACAACTGACTTACAAGTTGTTGGTATTGAAAATTTTGAACTTCTCAATTGACTTGAATTCATTGACCTGGATGAAACAATTACACACATCAGCACAAAATTGGCGAAGAAATTTAAAACTAGGGAAGCATGCATTTCGAATTATGATAGTAGGCACAAGGGTGTTGTCCTATAGAGAATCAAACATATATATATATATATATTTATATGATTGTTGTGGATGCATTAAACTAAAAGGTACCCCCATCGTGAACATCTTTTTCCTACCACCTCATTAAATTCCAGTTTTGTGAGCGGCAAAACTCTTTTCTCCATGAATTTGGTACATATATTCTCATCTAGTTCAATTTTTTCTGTCAAAGAAGCAAATAGCAAGTTCTCATGATTGAAAAACCAGGGTTCCTTAAGGAACCATATTATTGCCACCTCACCCCCTAATTTCATGATCTTCTTTTCCCAACCCCCAACATGAGAGTACTCTCCAGGATTACAAACAAAAAGTTAAGCTTTCATGATTTACCTATTTTTCATGGGTTTCAGCTTCAAACATACGTAAATCAAGAAGTATTTAGGAAAAAAGTGGAGTATATTAGTCTTAGAAACCATCAAAAGTAAAACCACTTCACTTAATTAATTTTATTAATTTTAAAAGCATATGCAAGAGTAACAAATAAATAAGAAAGACAACAAAAAATATATATATATATATTAATAAATAAAATGAAATAAAAGCAGAAGGAATGGGGAAAAAAAAGAGCAGGGGAACTAGAGCTCACATGTTCATCAGGAACTTGTGCAATTTCCAGGAGCTGCTCACACAAAGGCAAAGAAAACATCAGTAAGCAACTTGTACTTGAGGCTTAAATGCGCTCAATTAATTTAGCACCAGATAATATAACTCAATACTTTGTAGGTTGCCCAGCAAACAATTAACATGGCATATTGTAAGAAATCTTCATACCTAAAGAAATTATGAAGTAATATCCAAGAATAAGTAACAATAGTTAGATTCGACTACTTCACGCAGCTTTCTGCATACTTGATCAGAACTGTTCAAGGAAGATAACAATAGGTAGGATGTTGTTAATAGTAAAACTTATTTGATCTAGGAGGTGATACACGTAGCGGCACTGGAAGAAGTTGGACATAACAAAAGCATGGCAGACCAGAGAGGGACGAGCTTAAAGAGCAAGCTTGTAGTGAAAAACACATAGGACATCCTTTCCAGCTAAAAGTGATTCTCAAAATTCAGGGAAAGCCAGCCAATTAGAATGGACAGCTTGTCCTTAAACCAACGGGTGGAAGCCAACTAGGATGTATGGTCCAGCACAAGTCAAACTACAAAACTGCAGGCTCCAGCCAGGATCGTCCTCAATGAACAACCTGTTATTAGGTCCACAGAATGCACTCAAGACACCATGTGTCACGGAGATGATGCCAGCCCCCCCTTTCTTATCTGGAAAGGTCAAGGAAGACGCCATGGCCCTTGGAACAGCTGAAAGACAAAGCTCTCTTTGGCTGCCCCAATGCCATAGCCACCAAACCAACACCTCCATCCACCCCTTCTATTTTAGATGGATTTAGTTATTGTGTCCTTTGACACGGACATGACAAAATGTTCATTTTCTTCATATACTTCTTAATTTTCTGGAGGAAAATGGTTGCTTAGCCACGTAGCATTTCATGCATAATATGGAGTTTTATGCGTAGTTAAATGCTCTAAAATCGAATTACTAAGTATGTTCTTAATGAATGTCTAACTACACATATCGGACACATTTCATACCTTATCCAAGTATTGAATGTCAAACACGGGTACTTCGTAGATTTAGAAGAGTCCATGTACGATAACACCCCTTATCTAACACGATGGTCCATATATATGACATCAATGGGCACCAAACCTCACAAGGTACTGGCTCCACTACTCCCAGACTGGCATTGTAATCTTTCCCCAAGAAGCACCTGAAAAATGGGCTTGGAGAAGGACTTTGACACCTGTGGGAGTCTGTTAAGAGGGCCATGGCCTTTTAATGCCGCGTGCTTGATTTGCTCCTTGGAAAGGGTAGATGGGGTGCGCAAATTAGGATGTGAAATGTCTGTTTAGGATAGGGTAATTTGTGTTAGTCATGCTACTCCTGGTTCTAATACAAGTGAGGAGAATGTGCCACCTTGGTTGGACATAGCACCTATATCAGAGCGTAGCACATGGATGGGATGACCTCCCAAGTCACTACATCAAATTTCTTCTTCTGTTTTCCACTCTTATCCATGTTCAATGATAAAAAGGTTGATGAACATCCATACATCTTGCAAATTACTGATCCTTAAAGGGAAAGAACAGTATCAACTCAACTAGGCCTTGTCCCAACTATTTGGGGTCCCCTACATGAATCAAATTTTTCTACCACTTGATCAAGGGCCATATTTCAGTTAAACAAGCTAACATCTCTTTCTTCATCATAGAGATAAAGCTATGGGACAATGCAAGAACAAATGACCCATAGTTTTCTTGGCCCCCTCTACACATACCATTGTGGTTGCAAATAACAATTTGACTTTCATTGAATCATATTATTAGTATTAAGCTTCTTGTAAGCCAATATCCATGCAAACACTATAACCTTAACAGGCAAATGAGCATTCCAAACCATCTCATAATGAGGAAAAGGGGGGACAACTGGATTATCAATAAGTTTCTCAAAATAGGACTTCCAGAGAACAACCCAAAAGAATGGAGAGACAATCAAAAGAATCATTAGACAATGAATATTCTCAAGAATTGTCAACAAAGGGACCAGCTCAACAATATCCTGATCATTTAGATTTCTGAGAAAACATAAAATCCCAAGTAGGAAATGCAAAAGATGTAGCCAAGGAAGTAATAGAAGCGTTATGAGCTCTAGATATCCAACACAAATGCGGAAACAAGTGATTAAATGGAACCTCATCTCTCCAACTATCCTCCCAAAACCGAATGAGTTCCCCATTCCCAACAAGACAATAAATTGAGATAACCTGACAAAGGCATGTGAAATAAATTTTCATCCACCTATCCAATCTTTTCCCAATCTTCTCCAAAACCAGGGCCCATAACTCTTCCCCCATAGGGTCCTCACCTAAGAGTAATCCCAAACACTTCATTGGTAAAGACTCAACTGATCATCTCCACCTATCTTGCAAGAAACTGATCCCCACTAATGTACTTTTCATCAAATTGACTTTCTGCTCAAAAGCAAGTTAGCAACCTTAAACACTCTAATAATAGAACACAAATTATCCATTTTATCTTCACCCAAATAAAAGAAAATGGTATTGTTTGCAAACTGTAGATGTGACACTGAAACTGGGGTTGCAACTTGGGCAAGCCCAACTAGAATCCTACCAAATCCAACCCAAAATTTTTTAGGGCTTGGGCAACATATTTTTGAATTTGGTACGAGCTAGTTTACAAATTCAAAAAATTGAGTTCAATTTGGGCCTGGTTTGGGCAAAGATATCGGGTAACCCAAAGCCCAAATTATATGCAAGTATATAAAAAAATTAAATAACTATAAACTATTAATTGCTGGATATTGTTAAAATAATTTGGACCTTTTGATCTATTCACTACCTCTGTTATCAGAATCTTACGATTCGCGATTCGATTCACGATTCGATACGCAATTTTTGCAAAATCGATACGAATCTATGAGTGAATCTATTTTGGAAGTGAATCGCACGATTCACAATCGATTCACGATTCGATTCACTTTTTACGATTCATTTAATTTTTGAATTATCGTGTTCGACATATTTTCGACTCATTTTTTTCATCTTTTTAGTGAAAATGACATAATACAAATTCTAATAGCATTTAATACCAAAATAACCAACATATATATATGATTTGTTGTTATTTTAGTGATCATGGAGTTTTTTATAGGATCCAATCAGATTCAGTCAGACCTAACATATTTTTAACCTTTCTTCTCATTTTTTTTCTCTTCAAAAAATTGTAATATGTCTTCTAAAGATGTTTAAGATTAAAGTTACACTATGAATTATTTATTACTATTTTATTAAATTGAATATTACATGTGCGAGGTCAGTTATACCTTTTAAAATATTTTAGGCTTTAAAATAAAATATCCTAAATAATTCTTTCTTATTATTTTCTCACTCTTACTTAGAAAAGTATATATGCTTATTGTCCAAATATCAATATCGTTGTTAAATATTGTTACTTTAGAAATTAATAGTTTGTCTATTTGGTTATTATCTTTATTAAGAATGGTTGATAAAAAATATCTAAAAAAAAAAGAGGGTAAGATGGTGATTTTACATAGGAACCTTTGTCAACTTCTTACCTATTAAATTATGTGATTATCATTCAAAATAACATTTTTGTTGATTTAAGTCTAAATATTTTATATTCATAAGATATATTTAACATCTAAATGTGTAGATATATGTTTTTAAGTAATTTAGAAAAAGTGACCAAATCTTTACGATTCACGATTCGATTCGATTCGCGATTCGGTACAAGGCCATTTCGATTCACGATACGAATCCCGATTTGACAACTATGTTCACTACATAAATGATATACACAAGTCACATAATACAAAACCTATCCTTTCCTTTTCTCACTCAAAAATGACAAAGACCACAATAGTGGTACAACAGTTCCTCTCCTCTCTCCTCTCTGTCTCTGTCTCATCATATAATTATCTGTTTGAATGTTTTAATGATTTTATCCCAAAAAATGTTAGTAGGATTTAACTTTAACAAATTAATTAGCCTAGCAGCACACATGCGCGCGCGCGCGCGCACACAAAACAAAAAAAAACTAAAATTTATTGGTAATTCGGGACTAGCCCAAGTTCAATTTATTATGCTCGGGTCGGGCTTGGGCAAACCAGTTCGGTTGGAAGTCAGGTTTGGGTAACTCTCAGCACAACTCAAGCTGGGCCTAAGCAACTGCTCAATCCAACCGAACCTGCCCAAGTTGCACCCCTAATTAAAACCCAATCTTTTCCTACCACAAAACCAACCACTAGGCCCCTCTCAAACGCACGATCAACCATTCTACTCATCATGTCAACAACAATCCATAGGAGCTTTAGAATTACCCCTCGGCTTCCCATTCATAGCAATTGAGAGATTGGATAAAACAAGACAACCATGAATCTACTTTCTCCAAATCACCATAAATTTTGTGTTCCATAACAAAGTCCACAAATCCCCACTCAACGTGGCATGTGCCTTCTCAAAATAGGCTTAAAATAACCCATTCCCTATCCCGAAATCTATACTCCTGAACCACTTCATTTGCAACGAAAGTTACATTCAAATGTTATTAAAAGCACCCTGATTCTTAGAAATAGTGTCAACTATAACTGTCCATAACCTTTTAGATAGAAACTAAAATTTTATACAAGTAATAGACACCAAACTAATGTGTCTAAAGTTCCCACTTTTCAAAGAATTTGACTTTTTCAGAATCAAACAAATAAAAGTAGCTTTCGTACATGCATACAACCCAATTTTCAAAAAATTATTCAAATACCTTCACCAAATTCCTATTCATATGCCAACACGGGATCTTAACAATCCGTTTGGATAGTGAGATGAGAAAAGAAATGAAAAGATTGTATTCTCACTTAGGTGAGAGAAGAAAAAGGCATAATTGTGGTTTCTTACCTTCTTGTTTGGTTGAACAATGAATAAAAGAGGACACACACACCTTTTTATTTTATTTGGTTTGTATTTACAGGGGTAATTTAGGCATTAAATTTTTTTGTGTAAATAGTATTGATTTCTCACTAAATCTCACCCCTTTTGGTGAGAAACAAAACTTAAGTTTTGATGCATTTCTCTTTCTACGATTTCTCACCTCTTTAATCATCCAAACAAGTGATGTGAAAATTCATTCTCTTCATTTCTTTTCTCTTCTCACCAAACCCCTCAATCCAAACAAAGTGCAAGAGTCTGAACAAAATTTATTGTTTTTGCTTTAACCAACCACAAACCTTTAAGGCTTTATTTTTGTTTCCCTTCCTTACTAAGGTTTATTTGGAAGCATTTAGATAATTGTAGAGAAATTGATATGAACTGAGTTGTTCATTACGTCACAAGCTTTTAACTTTAAAGAAGTTAGATATTTAAAATTATTAGGGAAAAGAAGAAAAATGCCAAAATGAACTACTTCAAAGTTAGCTTACACAAGCGAAAAGTGAAAAGAAAGTTTTAGTAACCAAGCTTCCAACATTAAAATTAAAATAAGATAAAAAGGAACTAGTTATCGACTTTTACTTTGGCGATTCAACAGAAACATAAAACTGATTGTCGATATTAATCTAGTTGTTTATATCAATCAAATAACCTGAACCTTATACTTGCTTATATCAATCAAATAACCTGAATCTTATTAAGAAGTTCATCATATTGATGATAATTATTAAGCAATTATGCACAAGTTGAGTTACGAATCCTAATTATACACATTTTTTAAGGAGCAGAAGCATAGAGGTAAAAGGGAAAAGATGAATAATTAATAACAAATATTTACCTGAACTTTTCCTTCATAGGAAATCAAAGTACCACCTTTCACATCAGCCAAAGTTTTGGGTGTCACCTGCAAAGCCATGAAGCTATAGAAACAATTTTGAAGAAGAAGTACAACTTATAACAACCACTTTTAAGTACCTCCATACAGTACTCATTCTTGTTTTGGATCAAATGATGCAAGATTTCTGCAATAGCGGATTAAGAAACCCAACTACCAGAATAATCCATTATTCACATTAGTTTGCCACTGATGATACATATAAACAGTAAAAATGTAAAAATCAAAAGGCCAAAGAAAACATAATGAGGATACTCAAATCAACAACAGCACCCAAGTTATCTGAGTTTGCAATAAAGACGTATTCCTTTCCCTGTGAATGGATGAGAAAAAAAATTCAATAAAAAATAATAATAAAATCAAGAATTCTTTTGAACCGAATATACTAAGAGTGCATGTCAAAAGATGATAGAAAATGAATAAATCACAAACCTTTGACAACAATGCATCGAGCTTGCCACTATTCGTCAATGCTGGGAAGACATCACCATGGCCAGGAGGGTACCTGCTCAAGCGATACATATTTATAAGGTGAAGATAAAAACTACACGAAAAAAAGTGTATTCAGTGAAAACAATCAAACTAGTGATATCCTACCATCCATCCTTGCCAGTAATTCCTTTGCATGGCAGTGGCATAAAATCTTCAACAATCAAACGAGGGTACTGGCTCTGTAAGAATCAAATGAAAAGAGACTAAATTCAAAATTGTAGAATTACAAAAATACCAAAAATGGATACTAAGGGAACTTTGGAAGGGGTTTACAAACCTGATTAAATGTATGGATCTCAATGTTTGAATTGGAATATTTTTCTACAATCTACAACCATAGCTTCAACTGATCAGAATTCTACTAGACCACAAAAAAAAAAGAAATGTAAAACTACTATTCATTCACCTTTTGAGTATCATCATGGGTATTGAATGAGTTCATTAGTAGCAAAGGAACATTGCATCCATACTTGGAGTTCAGTGACTGTACAAAATGGAAAGGGTAAATTGCAAAGAAAACAGAATGACAAAAACATTAATTAGAAAAGTAAAATGATGTATGTATATAATATGAGAAGGACCTCAATTTGGATGACAATTAGGTCTAGGAATGTCAACCCATTACGAACTTCAATGACTGATCTGCATCACAAAAGGACATCAAATGCATTAGATATTACAACAAACAATCAAAGAGTATAACGTATCAAAAAAAAATATTGCATACATTTGATAATAACCACAAATGAGGTAAAACAAGTTAAAAATTGGTGCCAAAAGGGGGATGGGGTTACCAATACATAGTTATGACTATTAGGTTGAATGGTATTTTTTTTCCTTTCCTAGTCACAAGTTTCCATAATATTTATCCATAGATCATATTATTCAGTATTATTGAATGAATTTTATACACAATTATCATCTGGGTACTTCAAGGTGAAGATAAAAAGTTGGAGTTAGACTCTTCTACATTGAATCATTGCATTTCATTGAGAAAGTAACACATCCAAACAGGTGCCAAGGGAAAAAGTTAAAAAACAACATTCACCACTAGTGGGCTTATATCTAGATGTTGCATGGTAGTCCCAATGTGAAATAAAGATTCCAGGTAACAAAGAATGAGGCCACAACAGTATCATTATAAAGCTACCCATTATAATTCCTCCAGGACCTGTCATAGTAGTCCTAGCCATGATAGCCAAATGAAATATTGAATGATAAATATAGCTTAATTTACATAACAAACAAACTGTAGAAGTCACATCTGTGACAATCACACAGTTGAAAATGAGTTTCGTTAATTTACAAAAAGGATAGCACCAGCTGACAAGCAGTTGAAGATACTTTGTCTGGATTACTAAACCATATATTAAAAGGAAAATTAACCAACTCAATTCTAAACTTAAAAAAAATATACTGAAAACAGAAGTCAGACCGGATAATTTTAGCAAAGTTAGACACAATACAATCCTGCTGATCAAAAAAAGTTAGACACAATCCTAGCAGAATATTAATGCTTTAACCTTATAATTGAGACCAAGACCTTGGACTATAAGTGAAAGTACAAGGAAGATGAAAAATGATTCACATACTCTTGTCAGACAAACACTACCATTGCGAATCTAGGGAAAAAATAAAACCATTTTCTATCTAAAATTGATCATCAGAAATATAGAGATACCCATGTTAGCAACAAACCAAGATATGATAAGATGAATAAGCATTCATAATATCTTACATAAGTAATCGCAATTAGTAGATAGTCAAATATGTTGACTTCAATAGTAAACAGCACAGACCCTCAACAAAACAGAGTTAAAAAACACAAAACCATTCAGATCAGTTACAAGGGAGCACAAAATAACTTCTTTGACCAGAACAAGAGAAAAAGATAAAACATTTATACATAATTCAGTTGTAGGAAACGACATATATATATATATATATTTTGGAGAAGGAGTTGGATGCATACTTAGGACCAGTGCAGCCCATTGTTGTTCCCAATCCTCCATTAAGCTTTAACACAACAAGTTTGTCCAAAAGCTTCCTAGTTTCATCAGGATCTGCAACAATTCAGATGATCAGAACCTTCTTAAGAGTAAACCATTAGATCAGGAATATTCATGATCTATTCAAGAATACAATATTCGTGCACAATTTTGCTTTATTAGCATAAATTACCCGGGGGAAAAGCTTCCTAGTTTCATCAGGATCTTCAGGCGTTGGTGCTAAGCTGTCATAAGGAACCACCACCTCATCAGTGGGAGTCCGGATCGTACTCCATTCGACTTGTTTTGCTTCGCCACTTCAATTTTAAAATAATAATAATAAAAACAAAAATAAAAAATGACAAAAAGATTTGTAACAAATAAATTGATTAATTACTAAAAAAAATTGTTGTATAGTAACTGTAGATTTGTCAATGTTTAGGAAAATAGAAAGGACAAAGATGAAGAGACGAGAAGAAGAAGAATAAGTTGGAATCAGAATATCAATAATTGAGATATGAAATAGTATTGAATTGTACCTGATATAACGAGCGACGAGGTTTATGAATCCAGATTTCTCATTCTCGCTGCAAATTAAAAACAAAAAACAAACAAAGAAAATAGTCAGATCTGTTATGATCCAGTGATGAACAGACTCTAAAATAAATTGAAGAAAGTAGAGAAAAGCTTGCCTGATTTGAGGGAGGCTAGAGACAGAAGATTGGAGCTTAGAGATCTTCTCGGCATCTGCGGCGTTCAAAGTGGCTGTAGCCATTGGAGAGTGATACAGAGCACAGATCAAGAGAGAGAACGAGAGAGGAGGAGGATGAAGATTCGAGTACCTATCTGGGAAGGGTGGTGGAGTAGTGGCGATAAAGAATTTATAGACAGACAGGTGTTTGTTTGTAGGTATACATATAGACAAAGAGATTTTTTCAACCCAATGGTCTCTAGTCTCTAGATAATAAGACACGCACACAGAAAGCAAGCGCAAGGGAATATGCACCCGAATATAACGCGCCAGTTTCACGCAAAGGTCTCCCACAATTTCCTCACTCACACTCACACTCACACTCACACACACTCCCACATTGTTTTGTAGTAAGTTGCCGTTTGGTAAAAAAAATTTAGTTAATCTTGTAGAGTTGAGAATTTTTTTTTTTAAATTTGAGATTAAAAATTTTATTTGAATTTTTTTTAATTTTTAAATTTTTTTAAATTTTTATAAGAAAAAAAATAAAATAATCATGGTTTAGATTTGATATTTTATCTTATTAATTTATTTAGACTATTTTTTTTTGGTTATTTGGTCTAAACCAATTTATTTAGCCGTAGCCAAACGAAGACTAATTTTTTTTTTTCTTATTTTTAACACTTATTATGAGAGGTGATCAAGGATTAAATTGGGTTGAGTGATCTCTCATTTGCTATCCTTTTGAACTTAAGTATATTAATTTTAATTTGTATTCATCTGCTTAGTTACTGAATGCGTATTAAACAAGTCATGTAAGTTGCCGTTTAGATTTTAATATTTTGTATTTTTTTCAATCTACTTATTTTGTAATAATTCTTTACTATTTTGAGTTCAAATTTTTTTATTATTCGTTTTTTATAATAAAATAAATACTCAACTTTCATATTTCATAAATAGTAAATATAATTATTAAATGAAATATTTTTTTTAGCATACAAAATATAAAAGCAAAACATCCGGTGATCTCTCTTTTGCCATCCATCCAAACTTAGGCAGATTGAGAAAAAAGCATTTGCATCCGTCCGCTCAGACTATTGAAATCATTCATTTTGTGGTAGATTGGGAGTCAGATAGATGCTTACTGTGGGGATATATTTCTGAGTACCAACACGTGGCTAAGTTGATGTCGACGTGTCAACCGAGATGCCACGTGTCTAGGTCATGACGCCGAGGTAATCTCGGTCAAGCCGAGGTTATCTCCGAAGATATCGGAATCCGAGATAAGGGATAAGGGACAAGAATCCTAGAATAAAGAGAAGATTTAGCCAAGATAAGGATAAAACTCTTAAGAAGTTTATCTTTATCTCTTGAGGAGTCCAAAGTAAGTATTGAACAGGAATCCATAGAAGTCAGGCTTCTATTGGGATTAGGATTAAAGTAACTATAAAAGAGAGGCACCCCCATGGGTCTAAGGTATGCTATTTATGTTCTGCCTAGTGAGTTAAGCACTATTGATTATCTTTGAGAGATATATTGACTTGATCGTCGGAGTGCCCCCGGGTGGACGAACCACCGCCGGAGTCTTCTCTTTCTGCTACAGGTTAGCCAGGTGTCATCTATTCTGCCAGTGTTCTCCAGCTGAATATTGAGTTGGGCAGTGTGATCGGAAAATCACTCACACAATTTGGCGCCGTCTGTGGGAAAGAAAGTAGAATAGATGGCCAGTAACGGACAGAAGGAAAAGATTGGAGATGACACTCCTGCAGGGAGTGGGAGACCTATTGACCTTGATATCACAGGAGACGAATGCAACGCAGAAACTCATGAGCAAGCTCACAGAGTAAAAGACGTCGGCCAGACTAGCGACGTACCAAAGAAACCTGATCAAAGCAGGTACTACAACGAGGACGACCTCTAGGTTTGGAAGGATAGGTGCCTACTGTCACGACCCAAACCCGCCCCTATGGGTTTAGCACCGTAACCGGCCAGTAATCCGAGATTACCGAAGGCCTGCTTAACAGTAATACAGTAATACAGAGTACAGGGGCTGGTGGAAGCCAATACAGTAAATAAACAATGTCCAATGAGCTGTGACAGTCTGTATGCAAAAAGACTTTTCATTTAAATATATATATATATATATATACAGTCAGACCAAACAGTGTGTACATATATACAATCATTCAGTCAGGGACCTAATCCCTATTAAACAGTACAGTACAGTAAACAAAACGGTTACAGAGACGGAGGGGAAGCTAAAAACACCCCTAAGCCATAACTTGGAAGGTTCGGAACCTCGCAGTGAGGCACATAGGTTGGCTCGACAAAACGAGAGTTTACCCCGACGCTCCTAACTGCGGTCTAGTGCCTGCACACCTACATATATATATGAACAGTGAACTAAAGCCCAGTGAATAACATAATGCGTAAAGGGGTTAAGAATGAATGTCCTTACAGTAATGAAAACAGTTCATTAAATTAGTATTTCAGTCGTTCAGTCAATGCAGTCATATGTGGTACATCCATTAGCATAACAGTACAGTAAACAGTAGTTCTTAAAAAGACCGAGCAGTAAATGATGGCCATCAGTCAGTAACAGTAGTGGTTCCAACGAGGGAACCGACAGAGATCACTGTAACAGTAACAGTAAACAGTAGGTGCTAAGGATGCCACAATACAGTTCAGAATATAGGACATACATTCATTCAATTAACAGTATCAGTTCAGAAAGCAGTACAGTTCAATTGTTCAGAAGATAATCATTTTGAACATATCTTTACACAGTTGTTACTCACAAAGTTCTAGGCTACGGTAAAGCCAGAGCGCGTCCCCAGTCGCCAACCCTACACAGTGACAGATTGAACACATACTAAGCTACACAGTTGGGAAGGATAATAACTTAATCCCTAATTGCCTCAGTGTGTTCTACATCCATATCCTCATTAAGATGCCTTAAACTAGGCCTAAGAATGCCTAGGATAAGATGAGGATGCAAGGATGCACTTTTAAAAGTATTTTTAGACTTTTCAGAAAACAGGGGTCACGCTCGAGCGTAGGTTAAACCGCTCGAGCGGACATGCAGACAAAGGTTTCCGCTCGAGCGTAGACTTACCCGCTCGAGCGTTCTGCAAAACAGTCAAAAGTGCTGGATAGGCAAAAATCACGCTCGACTGGGCGCTCGACACCCGCTCGAGCATGAGACACAATGTCCCGCTCGAGCGTCAATTATTCCGCTCGAGCGGACTTCAAAACAGAACAAAATGCTGGGAGCACGATTTCCACGCTCGAGCGCCAATCACCCCGCTCGAGCGTGAGTCCAAATTCTGGAAATTCCAGATTTGAACCTCAAGCTCAAAACCAAGTTTTTAAACCATAATTTCGATCCTCTTGGGCCAATTTTCAGGAAAACACTTGTGAATACATAGAATAACATGATTCAAAGCTCAATTTGTAAAATCAAAGCCCAAGGGTGTTTCAAATAAATCCAATTTAAACCAATTTCCATGAATATGGAGAACATACAAACATGCATGGATTAAAACCATTTCAAAGCTTCAATTTGATGCTCTAAGGGGTCAATTGTTCCAAAAACAAGATGAAAACATGGACTTAACATAGCCATGAGCATGCATGAGACAATTCTCCATGGAATCAACTCAAATTCAACAATTCAAACATGCATGCATGGAATGAGTTCCAACTCAACAGTAATGAACCAATTCATGCCTTAAATCACTAAAGGCTCAAGAATTATGCAAGAATAAGTTCAAATACACAATAAAGAAGGTCAATGATCTACCTTAGGTCTTGGATTATGGGTCAATGTTGCTCTCAACCTTCAATTCTACCAAGATTCAAGCCAATTCACAATGAAACAAGTTGAAATCAACTCTTCTAGCTTCTCTATCTCTCTAAGGTCGGTTGTGTGCAAGAAATGGAAGAAGAAATATTTTTGTTTGAGTGAAATAAGAAGATCAAAAAGGTTCAAGTAGTGGGCCACTTAAGTGGCAAAATGGTAAATAAGGCCAACTATGCAATTTAACTCATTTTAATCTAATTTAATCATACCTAACCAGTTTTCAGATAATTATACCATAACATTACGTAAATTACGATGATCATAAAACACTAATCGGTTTCCGGTTCGGCCGCCGATAAGGCCTTCAATTTGCAATTTAAACATAAACATAAAAGCACGAACAGATAATCAAATAACCAAACAGATAGAATTACAATTAAACAGGTATACTCAGTCAATTCAGTTTCAATTTCAGTCGGTCAGTTCAGTAGTTTATTCAGTTCACTTATCAGTCATAATCAGTTCAGTTTAACGGTAATCAGTGGTTATTCGGTAAACAGTGACGAGGGTTATTACACCTACGAAGGGATGAAGAGGTAAAAGAGATGGCAAACAAATTGACAGACTTACAGTCGGTCGTTAATTTCATGATGCAAAATAATGTCATGCAGCCATCGTTCCCGTTGCACGACACGCCGATTCAGAAGGGGGGGCAGAAAACAATCCCCGTAGCGAGAGACACTCTCACCGACCCTCCAGGGAAGTCGGACGAAGAGAGTCAAGAAGAGAAGAATCACGGATGACGCATTACACAAAGGAGGCAGACCCCAAAGGACATCGGCATGTTCAGGGGTAGGCGCTGTGCTTCGACACAACCCATAGAAAAGGATCGAAAAGGGCTCACCACGAGGCCGAGAGTAGTATACCGAAAAGACTGAAGTCAAAAGATAGCCGAGCTCCTAGGCGGAGCAAAGAAGACTTAAGAAATTACCTTAAGAGGAAGCAACAGAATGCCGACGTCAAGGTAACCTCCCCAGATAATTCTCGGTGGAATTAGACAGGTTTGAGGTGCCGAAGAGATTCAGTATGCTGAAGTTTCAAATATACGATGGTAAGTCAGACCCCAACTTCCACGTTGGACTATATTTGAACTCAATGGCATTTTATAATGGGAACGAGCCATTGCTCTGCAAAGTGTTCCCCTTATCCTTCGGGGAGATTACATCAGATTGGTTCCATAAATTACCGAAGGGAAGCGTGAAGACTTGGGAAGGCCTGGCCGAGATGTTTATGGCCAGGTTCGTGACAAACAAGCTACAGCCATTAAGGGTGGACGCATTGATGGCACTGAAGATCAGCAAGGATGAAGGCCTTAGGGCCTATGCAAAAAGATACTACGAGGTGTTCAATCGAATACCCGAATGTAATCAAGAGGTGGCAGTCGTATCTTTCAAGAACAGCTTGAA